AACACACAAACCATTTTTCCTGCTTAAAATGAAAGGGGAGAGAAAAGGCACAGTGTCTGTTAGCTATTTCCACTAACCCACCAGTGGCAGGGAGGGAAGAAGGATGATGGGAAGAATGTCTTTCTTGCATCTCTAGCAACTGCTGTTGATGGATCACAACCAAATGTTTCATTTGGCAGCTAGTCTGGGGAGGCCAAAAAAATTGCCCGGTCTCCCCTCAGCCGGTTACGGGTTGAAATGGGAGATTTGATTAAGGGAGTAAAAAATTCCTCAGCACATTATTTTCAATAATCTCCTCTGAGTGAATGATGGCTGAGTGACGGCAGAGGGAGTAGAGCTCCTCTCGGAACTGTCAAACACAGAAAGGCATCGCTGCCCTCCCGGTCTAACCGCCAGGAGGGAAAGAAGCTCAGAAGCACGGCAGAAATATTAATGCAGGGCCGCGTTAGTTTCTTTTAACTGAATTTATCAAACATTCAGCTACCATGAGAAAACAGATAATCACCCAGTTTTTTTTAACCTCTGAAAAAGCTGAAGTGTAAACAATTTGTGGTGCATCAAGTCACTGTCGGTGCATGCATGTAGCTTCAACCCTAGCCCCCCCCCCTCTTGTCAGAAGAGCAGATTTTTCTCATAATGTGGAATGCCTGTAGTTCTTCACCCTAGATTTCATCTGTATATTTACTATCACATATATTTTTTGTAACAAACATTCATGCTCCGGTCACGTTCTCATACCTGGTGAAATATCCTGGAAGAGCGACTTCCATATTGTGTACTGTAAGGGCCCCATGTACTTTGATGTCGGGAAGTCTTCATACGTCAGATTGGTCTCATGTATCTTCCCTTTAATCCTGCAACAGAAAAACAGATCGATACCAGTGTACAGTAAATCTAATTTGCTGCTTTTTCCAAATAATTCTGCCTCTTGTTCAACCCACAGCGTTGATACTTAAGGTAATAATCTGGTTAGTGTCTCTAAAATGTGCTGTTATTGACATTATACAAGAGTTGACAAACTGCTTCATGAACCTCCAGCAACAGAGATTAATACATTAGTGGGGGGAGTTCGGTTCCAATGTCATTACAATATAATTTAAAATGAACCTCCACATGTATCACTCAGGGCACTCCCATATATAGTCCAGAGTTGAGCAAGACGTCAAGTGGGTTGCTTGCCACAGTAAGCATGAAAATAACGGCACGGTACTGTATGTTGAAAAAGGGCACTCACATTTACGTCCTGTAACATCTCAAGAACCCAGTCAGTGACTACAATAAGGCACCTGCATTGTCTGTTCCTCCACTTGTATATTGAGGTTCTTCCTTTAATTAATGTGTCACCGATCCATATTGACTATTTAACAGTAACACTGAAATTATGACAATACTGTTCCTGCAATGTGCTCAGTGCAGTACAGGTATGATGATGCAGCCTAATGAAGATTAAGAAGTTCTTTTCTTGGTCAGTTAAGCTGGACACGAGGGTGGGTACAATTTTCTGACTTGATCTATAGGACGTGTGTGTCACTTAAAAATTTTCAGCACGAGTTTCCTTAGTGAACATAAGTGTTAACACAAGACAACATACAAGAACAAGTTTGCCAATTTCCAGATTTGGATGAGAAAGAATCACCATGCATTCGATGCTTGACAGTTAGAGTATGGAGGAACACCAGACCCTCCTTATCTCATGGGAATGTTCTAGCAGTGTTTTTATACCTGCTTGGTCATCAAATCTACAAAAACTATTTGTTGTCAGACAATATTGTCACCATCCCAAGTTCTGATACCATCTATCCATCTGTTATTCTGTAGAGGATCACGGGGTGGGGCCTGGAGCCAGTCCTGGCTGACACTGGGTGAGAGGCGGGGTATCCCCTGGACAGGCCACCAGTCTATCACAAGGCTCACACATAAAGATAAGACAACCACTCACAGTCAAAACCCCGGTCAGCTGTGAGCTTTGAACTCAGAACCTTCTTGCTGGAGGAGACGGTACAAACCACTGCACCACTGCCTTATTAAATAATACAATGCCCAAAAAATGTTGATACTGTAACTTTAAAGACAATGATATTAAATCAAAGGTATTGTGATGTTTGTATCTGTCGCTAGCTCTATACCCAAACTAATTAAGCTGCTCTGAGATATTAAACTGTTCAATTAAACCGTCCTCCAGTGCCCCTCCCAGATTAAACATTACAGATGGTATATTTCAGGCCTAATAGTCCATCTGTTCAGGCATTATCTGATGCTGTTGCTCCGATCTGCACTTTCTCCAACATTTCAGCAGCACAACACACATTTGGCAAGTTTCTGGTATTATCATTATAACAAATGTACTGCCATTTATTCTAAGTTTAACTAAAGTATTGCTATATACCTTGAGTCAGGGTTATGGTCCTTCTGGCACTTACAGTGCTTGGCAACCACATTTTTTCCTCATGGGATTGCAACTGTTTTTGTAAACTCAAGGCAAGTATAGCACCTCTCAGATGTGACGGCCACTCCCTCCAAGAAGTCGTGTCGTCCTGTCTCATTGAGGCGCTCCTGCAGGATCTGGATGCCCTCCTTGACGTCGCGCAGCTGCTGACTGTAGCGCTGGATCTTGTGCTCAATGTCAGCGAGCTTGCGGGCTGTATCCATCTCCAGCTCTTCTAGCATGCTCTTCTGACGCTCGCGAAGGAAACGGTGAAGGCGCTCAAATGCATCGCCGATAGTTGCACGCAGACTCTTGGCTGAGGACTGAAAAAGAGGCAAACGATGATTTACTTAAAGAAGAAGAAAAAAAAAAAACAGCTGTAATATTTCTAACTGCTAAAACGGGACTGAAATATACTCTGTACTGTAATTAGCTAGGTTTGTTGAGTGTTTCAATCACAATAGCCTGACACTTAGTCAAGGCCCACTAATTCAAAGACTTTCAAAGATATATAAATTGTGCTAATAATACATTAACATTCGTTCATTGATTCAGTTTGTACATGTGTTGATTTTAACTGATTGAGAACAATGTGAGTACAACCTTCCACAGACAAATTAAAGTAACTTTTACACTCACAATGAGGAGAAACAAACAAAAAGTAGAATGTAACAGAAACAACCCAAAAAGACCATCAGCAGGGGGTCACAGAGGACAATACTGATTACAATACTGGTGGACAGGCAGAAAAACTGAGGCCATTATAGACAGAGCTGAGCAGGTCGCAGGGGACAGCAGCCTGGGAGTGGAAGAAACTGATTTGTAGTTGAAGAGGGAAAATGGGAAGCTGGACATCAAAGAGAATGAATCACCGAAGTGTTAGCAGTCTGAGCGTCGGGGAGACAGAACAAAGGGCTGTGATGAAAAAATCCTCACGCAGAGAGGAGCAGGAGGCTCTTAGTATGACTCTTCTGAGAAAAGACTGAACATCATTCACACATTTTGTCATTACCAGTCATCATTTTGCTGACAAGTACTCAAAGAAATCAAAATACCTGCCAGCCAAAGAGCAGCTAAGAAACAGAAAAATCAATGACTAGTGAATCAGTGAAAATGAACAAAAAGAAATCTCAGATGAAACATCGATGAATGAAGCTCTTTCTCTGCAATGGGACTTTCAGCCGCTCCTGTGATCTTTCAGGGGGACCTGGTTTTAGGAACTGTGATCTGAGGCTTAATTACACTTCCCTATAAATTCAATCAATTCCCTTCAAAGAGCAGGCCTGCTTCTCCTCTTCTCTCAGACACTGGGGGCAGGTATTCTCAAGCTGCCTGTGGGAATGTGTTAAGATGACTATTTCTCTGCAAAAATGACAGCTATGACATGAAGGTGGGCTACATCTAAGCCCTCCTATCTAGTTAAGGTGGAAACTGATGGCATGGAGGAGAAGGGCTGCAGCAGCCTAGCTTTCTGTCTCCGTGCCACGTCTTGCTGTTTTTGCACAGCAGGGGGTGATGGCACTGAGAGGGGTTTCTGTAGCCCTTGGAGACCAAACGCTGGCTACCTTTCAGCGAGGCATGTGATTATCAAGCGAAGCCCCAGTGGGCATGTGAATAGGACACAAACTCTATCTTTCAGACAGGCATCCTCCCAAGCACACAAGAGCCAAGAACTCAAATTGGAGTGCAAAGCAGGCACATTCAGTTAAAATGGGAGCCGGGCTGCTGAAGTGCTTCCTCGTCAACCTTAGTACAAGAAATGAGATGCAGCTCAGTCTCACATTTAAAAGGAGGGACAACAATTTTACACATTATAGTCTGTTTACAGGGCTCAGAGACCACTGCTGCATATATAAAAAGTCTGTGAAATTGTTTAAGTGATTCAGTGTTGGGTGGGGCTGAGGTTTTTTGTGTTGGAGTTGGAAAGAAATGAACTTAACAGACCTTTGTAGCCTGCTCCTCATCTCTGCTGGAGGATTGTGGCTTGAGGCTGTAGCTGCTACTAGCAGAACAACGTCAAATTTCTGACCCAACTGTCAGTGGTCGAGTTGCATTGTGGGTAATGCAGGTGCCAAGGAAGAAAGACACATGGAACAAAAATGACAGTTTCTCTGGTTCTGCTGCATTGATATTGATATATTTTGTCTCTAATGGGTCTTGCATTGTTATAGGAGTACAATGCTAAATAAGTGGAGCACTTGTTTAAAAATAAGGTTAATACAAAAGAGAAAAATAACTTCAGACATCCTCAAATTTAGCATGAGGAAGAAATAAGCCTTTTCATTGGCAGCTACATAAATATAGTCACAGTGTAGCTCCCATCCAAGCAGAGTACTCTGTGCAAATGGATGTAAATCTATTGAGAACAACTCATTTCCAATGAGAAGTGGAAGCAGCTGCATCTCCACAATCTGAGTGAGTCGATAGACAGACTAAAATGGACAGGGCCTGGCTCTCTCTGGCAGTGCAGAGCTCCGACAGCAAGATGAGTGATGCTGTAACATCGAACAGCAGGTAGAAAAGCAGGAGAAGGGGGAAATAATGCAGAGGGCTGCAACATCATCTCTGCCAGAGACCCTTACCTGGTCAATAGCTGCAATGTCACTACAGGAAACAGAAGAGATGTATGTTTGCGCATGTGTGGTAGAGGGACTGACATATTGAGTGGAGGCTCATGGATTGCTGATTAAAACAAGGTGTCGAGATTAAACCGCCGTTCAATAAACCAATTTACGTGTCAGAATTCAACTGTCACACCAAATCGGTTAGGAAGGAAGATGGATAATCAGCGACTGAAAGACTGCACACGTGTCCTTTACTTTCTGCTCATGAGGCTTTGTTTTGTATGAGTTAACTAAATGAGTATTACTTTCATTGGGTGTTTAAGGTGCAAACAAGGATGTTATCCATTCATATCTATACTGCTTATCCTGAACAGGGTTGCAGGGGGGCTGGAGCCAATTACAGCAGACACTGGGAGAGAGGCA